TCATCTATTGGGTCGCCAAAAGTTCCCAAAATGAACTACTAGAAGCTCCAAATCCACCCACGAACTATTGCCTTCGTTTTGGGAAGAAATTGAAAAAAAAAAAACTTATCGATCTTTCGATAAATCACAAAAGAGTGGGTTTTGAGGGGTTTTTCTCACCCTATAGGCCACGGATTTTCTATTGGGGGTTTAAAATACCCGCTAAAACCCTTTTCCCCACTTTTTAGGGTGAAAATATTAGATTTTTTACACTCACCGAGGGTTTTTTCCACCCGCCCGCAAGTTGTCACGGGGCGGTGCCTAGGCGGGCGCCTAGACAAGGCGGCACCTTGACCACCTAAGCAGGCACCCAGAAGCAAAAACGCATAATGCCTCGCCCAGAATGCGCCTAGGTGTTTTGAAAAGTTTTTTGCCTAGGTGGTCGGGCCGCTGAATTTTCGAACATTGGATAGGATTGTACTTGGGCGACACAAGTATGCTTTGGACCTTTTGAAGAGGACAAAGATGTTAGATGCTAACCAGCCACTATACCTATAAATTTAAATAGGAGATTGAGGGATAGCAAAACTTTTGGGGAATCAATTTCAAATCCAGAAGAATGCATAAGTGTATTTGGTGAATTGCAGTATCTGTCTTTCACAATACTCATTATATCTTATGCAGTTAATCAGGTACGTTGATATATGCGTAGTCCAAGAGGATATCATTTAGAGGCTGCTAAGAGGATATTAAAGTACATAAAAGGCATTATGAATGATGGAGTGCTTTACTTCAAGAATAAGCCTAAGGATATGAATCCGTTAAGATTTGTAGCCTTTTCAAATGTTGACTGGACTGGGGGCCCAAGTAATAGAAGATCAGTTACAGGTTATTGTGTGTTAATGGGCAACGGTTTGGTATCTTGGTGTTGCAAGAAACAAAGGACAATGGCAAGGTCAAGCATAGAGGTTTATTATAGGCTAATGGCAGCAGTCATTTTTGAAATTACATGGATAAGGAGTCGTTGCTATGGTTATTGGTTGCAAAATTATGTAGTGTACCATGTTGAGATAATCAAGGTGCAATAGCCATTCCATGAATCTAGTGCTTATGTAAAGGCCAAACATATTTGTGAGAGAGAAATTACGGACAAATAAATATTTTTAAAGTTTGTTGGGATCATTGAACATGTGGTAAATATTTTTGTAAAAGGGCCAATCAAGCAGAGACAGAGACTTCTAAAGGGCAAGATGTCCATGATTATTACTGTTTGTGGCTTGAGGGGGGGTGTATTAAGAATATAACGTGATGTGCGAGGGCAAACTTGCAAATAGACTTTTATCTTTGTTTTAATTATTTTTTGTTCTTATGAAATATTGTGATGGGCATATTTGTAATCTTATGTTGTTCACCGTTTGACGCCCATATACAGTTTACAGTTTCAGACAAAAAAAAAGGATCTTATGTTGTTCACCATATATATATAAATATGAGGACTCCCAATACTTAAATTTGTCTTGGACGATCCATTCTTCATTCATCCATTCTCCTTCTGCATATCCTCTTTTTTTCTGGAATAATTTTCAGAACTCAAGCATCAAAATTAGTCCATTAACCTCGTAACTTTTTTTATAGTTAAATATTTATTTATTTGTTAATGTTCTTAGATGGACACATCCAAATGAGGGAGCTTCCAGCAAGCAACAATTCCTCCTCTCTCGATCTCACTCTCAATTTTCCTCTTGCTCTTGCTTCTGATAGATATGATCCTAGGGGTGGGGTGGTAGATTCTTATCTGCCCTTGGTTAGGCGGTGCATTTGGTGCAAGTTAACTCCATATAACTGTCCACGTGGGCACCTGTACCAATTAGGCAGCTTCCTGGCCCCAAAATCCATCTATGCCCTGTACAACTTGAGGATGTAAATGTCGGGGATATTGGCTTCATTTGTTTCCTTTAGAAGATGGGAGAAGTGGTAGGGCTCTTTGTAACCAAAAGTTTTGATGAAAAGATTTGGGATGAACATTCCATTCAATGTTGGCATGCCCCTCTTAGGGATTCTTTCCCAACCCTCTTCCGGTTGGCACGAAACCTGACCTCCACCATAGCTGAGAATTTTGAACCCTCTCCCAGGGGAAGGGCTTGGTCTCCTATTTTCAGAAGGCCCCCTACTGACTCCGAGTTGCCAGACTTTATCGCACTGCAGGCCTTGCTCCACAATTTCTTTCTCCCATCCTCTGGCCTCAATAAGGTTGTCTGGACCCTCTTCCCGTCAGGTGTTTCTCAGTTTCCTCCTTTTGCAAGGCATTCCTCTTGCCTCCCCAAACCTCTCCCACCACCACCACCACCACCCATATTGCAGCTAAAGCCTGGGACTCTTTGGCCCCTCCAAAAAGTCAGTATTTTTAGGCGACCACCCATGAAAGGGCCCTAACTGTGGACTACCTCCAAAGAAGGGGCTTGCATCTACCCAACAGGTGTATCATGTGTTGGAATGAAATCGAAACCAACGCCCATCTCTTTCTGCATTGTGAGATCGCATCCCATCTCTGGGCCTCAATCCTTCAACTTTTCGGCTGGTTTTGGGCCACCCCCCCATTTATGCCCCACCTTTTCTCATCCTACCTCTCGCCTCCTTGGGCCAAACCCGGCATCCTTCTTTGGAGGGCTTCTGTTGCAGCCATCATCTGGACCTTTTGCCTGGAAAGGAACCAAAGATCTTTAGGGGAGAGTACTCTAACTCCGATACTTTGCTAGAAAAGGTGAGGTCCTTGGTCATCTTTTGGGTAACCAACTCAAAACCCTTTAAGCATATCGCTTCAGCGGACTTCCACCAAAATTGGAAGGCATTGCTTCACTTAAGGCCCTATAAAATTCCTAGGGCTGCTTCTTGGTCCCCTCCTACTCCTGGCCTAATTGAGCTTAACTCGATGGCTGTTAACTGGGCAACCCAGGCCCCTCGGGAGTAGGAGGGACCTATCATGACTGCGCTGGACGCACCCGCCTCTCTTTCGTGCACTCCATTGGTAGCTCCGACTCCACCCAAGCTGAGGCGATGGCTCTCTTACACGGCTTCCGATACTTCGATAGGGAGTGGGGAAACTCTGTGGTCATTGAAGGAGACTCCGCCAACGTCATCTCGTGGGCTTCCAAATCAGCCTAGTGCCCTTGGAGGCTCGATTCCATTTTCTAAGAGATCTACCACAGGTGTTTAGTTCTACTGATTCTCTGGTGGCACTCTTGGAGAGAGGCTAACTCCATCTCTGACTCCCTTTCCAAATATGGTGCCCAGGGCTTGTATATTGTGGATATTCCATTCTAGCTCCTCTAGACCACTCAAACTCTTTCATAAAGATTGTATTTCTTGAGCCCTGTAAAGGGTTTCTCTCACTTTCACCCACCTTGTGGGTAGGCAAACTTTGTACTTTCCTTTTATCTCAATACCACAAGTAAACTTTCTCAAAAAAAAGAAAAACATTCAATTCAATGTTTTCTATTTTTAGTACCTTATGAATTTGGGATCATTTTTGGGAGGAGGTCATTTAGAACCAATTTTCTGGTTTTGATGCTCCATGAAACTACACTAGAGCCTAGATGTCGTAGAATTATGATTGGCCATGCCATTGTGGAATTTGGATGGTGTCAAGTTAGAGATTCACACTCACCATGTTTGATGTCATATACACACATATGAAGACATCATATCATCATTACTCTTGTTAGCAATATACTCAATGCTAGCTTCAACACAGGATTGTTATACATGTATAACTTACGCATGTAAAATACTATTAGTACTTCTGTTTTTCAAATCCTGAAACACACACTCAAAAGGAAAGGTTTTTGTGGTCAGGATCACGAAAACTGGTGAGTGCCAACCTCTTTCATTATCCATTTAAACGGATAGAGTAGATGTGAGAGGGGCGTAGAGAGATGATCACCAAAGGCTACCTTCATTGCTCGCTGCACCATCATTGCTCTACTGCCTCGTTATCTAATCGTATTGTCAACCCCATCAAACCATCGCCACAGCTTCCACCACTATGGTGGTAGGAGAGGAGGTGGCATCAATGATGTGGGTTGGTAGGGGTGCTGATTTTTGCTCTGGTCTCTGTCAACCACCCTGTCCCCCCCCCCCCCAACCAAAAAAAAAAAACCTCTTTTCCTTCACCATTCCCTGTATAAATGGATTGCCAATGAGGTAGCGGCTCACTAGTTTTGGTGGTCCTACAGGACCACCAAAAAATTTCCTTATGTATAATTTTTTTTTTTATATGTATATATTGTCAGTTAATTTATAATTGGCCTCCAGGACTCTTCTCTATGGCACCTTTCAAACCTAGTCCAGGGTTTGACTGTGCTTTTCAATGTTGAAGCATCCTATGTTTTTATGTTGAAGGTTTTGACCTTGTCTCCTATGTTATCTTCTTTTGCTTCTATTGAAGATTCCAAAACTTTGGCTTCATCAGTTTTTTTTTTTTTTAAATTAAATTCGGACCTGGTGGGAATGGAACTCTAGACATTGTGTTGTCCTCATAAGCTATACCGGAAAAATAGAAAAAAGTAACTAGCTTCAGTCTCTAGACTAACAAAGCATGGAAACCATCTTTAATCCCCTTTGTACAAACTTGACAATTTGGTAAAATAGAAAGTCTATTTTTTCCTTTTCTGGCCATTTGGCCTATATCCTTGAAATGGAGATCCCCCATGATAGTTGTATGACTTAATTTAGTGAAATGAAGGTTTGGAAAGGACAACTCTTCCGCTTTGCCAAGAGAGAAATTTCTTCATGTTTCAACATTGTGTTTCTATTAGCTTTTATTAGTAAAGTAACTTTAGTTGATGAATGAAGGCTAGATGAGTTGTAGCTGTCCCTTTGGTGGTGACCCATTATGATTTATAAGCTTTACATTTTATTGTGGTAATCTGATAATTTATGAAGGATATTTGTTTATATTTGTTCTATGCATTCATTATTCTTTCTATGAGATATACGTGATATGGTCAAATTGTATCTTCTAGGAACTGGAAAGCTCTGGTTGCAAACACTTTGATGCCAAAGCCCTGGCTGAAGCATTAAAGTCACTAGGTAATGCTTTTTTTGTCACTATGGGTGATGAAGTTCTACTTCTGTTTGAAAGATTTGACAGTTTGAATATGTCAGTTTTTGTGCCTGCATGTTTCTTTGCATTTATAAATGGTATATGATTTGGGATGCATGTGTCTTTTCTCGGCCCATTGCATGTGTATTGCATTGTATTCATGCTGCTGTCTTCCAATGCTTTCCCAGGAAACCGGGCGATGCAATCTAAGTTATACACCAATGCCATTGAATTGTATACTTTTGCCATTGCGCTCTGTGGGAGCAATGCTGTTTATTATTGTAACAGGTAAATACTGATTTCCTTTTTCAGCTGGGTTAGAATATGTGTTTGCTGGTGTGGTTCAAGATATTCCTATTGGGCATTATTACATTGGTTGTCAAAAGGTATCTGTATTTTGTTTATTTTTCATTTTTGTTGTTGACAGGTTAGGCTAAATTAGACTATTGAACTCTACTTTGTCCAAAATGAAACTCTATCCTCCTCTGCAGTAGACTCTCTTGTCGTCATCATCATCATCATTTTAGCCTTTTCCCAATTAATTGGGATCAGCTGCAGTAGACTCTCTTGCAATTATATTTTAATATTTAATAACCTCTAATACTTTATCAAAAGTAGTGGGAACAATGTTGTTTCTACTGTTGATCGTTTACAAACTCTAATTTCTAATAATCTGTACAAAACTTAAAATTGCAATGCAGTATAAATTATTATAATTTTTGGACAAGTTAGTTCTTTTTGTTCCTGAACTTAAAGTTGTAAGTATAAGAAATATAGCTTTAAGAGAAAAAATTGAGGGAAAGCAAGGGAGTCAGTACCTAAGGAAATTAAATCAATGCAATAAAAAATAATAAAATAATTTTTGGGAAAAGAAAACAAAAACTACTAGCTTGTCAGAGATTTAAGAAAAGCAAAGGAGTTAGTACCTAAAGAAATTAAATCAGTACAATAAAAAATAATATAATAATTGTTGGGTTTTGTGGCCTTTAAAGGTCTAGAGAGCTTGTAAAAATGATATTTATAGTGGAATATGCACTTCAAAGGGAGTGTGTGTTGACTGACCAAGGGTTGGGCGGTTTATGGCCCTGGTCAAGTCCAAAACCCTTACCCCTGGGCATGTGGCATTATTGAGAAGGGCTTGCAGTGTGTCATCCCTTGTTGAGGTCGGAGAGATGCCCATGGATCTCGTTTGTAGGCCACGAGAAGGCAAGAGCCAAAACCTCAACAAGCTTTCGCACGTCATGTACACATGACAGCCGCATGAGAAGCTGCCAGATAGAGGGATACATGTACATGTACATAGAGAGAGTCCCCTTTGCATTGTGGTGACAGGTGTTAAACTTGCTCTTAAAGAGGGGACTGAAATCCACATTCCAGGATCATGGGCCCACTGTTTATTATCCAACTTTGACAAGTCAATCACGAGCCGCTGCAAAGAGACTGTGGGTTATGGGACTTTGTTAGGTTGGATAAGAGAACAGTCGCGAATCATGGTTTTTGAGGCAAGTGGAGTGCCCTGATTGTCATTTATTTTGACCCATTGATACCAGTCCACTCCTAGTATATTTTATTTTTGTATTAGAAATATTTTTATAATTTTAAATAGTTTTATAATTTTAAATATTTTTCATAATTTTAAAATATTTTTTATGCACATCTTTCATCAAAAGGATATTTTTAAAATTTCAGAATTTTACACAGCACATGTGGGGACCAAGATCCAACCCCCACATGTGTGCTACCCATGTTAGGGCCCACATGCACTCCTATGGTGGCACACCACTTCCTTTGCACCTTGGGGGGCCATGTCACTATTATAGGATTTCTAAGCCCCTATGGGGGCCATGCCAATGGGGGCCATTGGAACAAGGGGGTCCAACCCATTTTCTTAAAAGAAAAAAAATGATTATTTCAAATTTTAAATAGTGGCACACCACTTATTTGGTAATAAGGGGGGGTGGGGGGGTGGGGGGCGCACGCCACATAATTAGTAAAAGGGGGTGGGCACTCCATGTTTTTGCTATTTGATTTGGTTGAAGTATTAAAATTTGAATTAAATAAATAAAATTTAATTTTTATTCTAATGGGATTTATTTAAAATTTAGATATTGGGAGATCTAGATAATGTTTAAATTTGATTATATTTTAATTTTAATTAGGAGTTGGATTGGGTCAAAATGTAAGGGGATAATGTGCCCATCTTTACACCCAAAATCATGATTGCAAATTTTTGGGATGGATGGCTCTGAGTAAATCTCTCACCCAACAAATTTCCTGTTTATCCTTAAGCTTTAGCTGTAAACATGATAAAAAAATATTTAGAAGGAGTCTTATTCATATTAGGATATAGAGTTCTTTCTATAAAAAGATCTAGTTTGAATCCTCTCTTAGAAGACAAGATCTTTCTCTCGCTTCCAAGACTAGATCCCCTCTCTCTCTCATGCCACTTTTCTCTCTCTCTCTCTCTCTCTCTCTCTCTCTCCATCACAACTTATTTTTTATTCTTCTCTCTCTGAAAATTTTGGAAGTCACAGGCACCCCTCTTGTTTTAACCATAGGGAGCACGCCACCCTCTCTCCTTCTATATTTTTTGGGTTAAGCCACCCAAAAGAAAAATAAAGGTGGTGTTATAGTGAAACCCTAGAGCAAGAGAGATTTGCTGTATTTTTTGAAGAAAGAAGAGAGAAGTCCACCTTAGAGAGAGATCAATTCCCAAGATCAGCTATATTTTCTTCCCATAGGGTTTCTATAAATCCTAATATATTTTTGAGCTCTCTAAAACCTTAGAGAAAGAAGTATTACCTGTAAAACATCTCTATCTCAGAATTTCCAGCAACACCTTAAGGCAAAAAATGTGTCATTAATCAAGGAATTGGGCATGGGGTGTACCAAGTCCTAGTAGGATAACTCCATGCATCTTTCAGTAAGTTTTTCAAGTAGTTTAACTTAATTTACACTATTACTTCCTATTTTCTGTAAATTTTCAGGATCTTGTTTTGTGCTAAAAATAATAGTGGGAGTTAGTTTAAAGTTCATGGATAGTTTCTATTTCTCTTGGCAATGAAAATAAAGATCTTAGGTTGTATCTAGAGCATTGTTTTAATTTCACAGCAACATACTATGTCCCATGTAAGTGGAATTCAGGTATTTGGAATAAAAGTAAAAGGAATTTTTTTGAATTTAATACCTTGACCTCGACATAGTCACACCTTTCAATAATTAATTTATTATTTTGAGGTTGGAAAGGATACACTGTGCTATAAAGCGTACAATAATCCAAAGCATCACCATCATCATCTTCCAAGCCTTTTCCCAACTATTTGGGCTCGGCTACACGAATCCTGATTCGGCGTTCGGCTCTATTAAGGGCCATACCCTTAGTCAAACAAATCGAAATAAAGCAAAAAACAATGCTAGCTTGTATTGATATCTAAGAAAAGTAAGGGAGTTAATAATCTATAGAAAATTAAAGTGATTTAAATAGAAAATAGCAAAATAAAATCTATTATCTTCTTAATACGAAATGCAGGTTGTATAGCATGGAAGTCAGATATTTCATGTTTAGAAATGTCTATCTCGGAGTTGTGAGATAATCTTAATTTGTAGCCTCTAATATTTAATAAAATCATGTTTATTGAGAATATAAATTATTAGAGGCTTTATTGTACCTATAGTTCAAGCCCGTGGGCAAAACAATTGTCTTGATACTTGCTGTACTCCTTTGTTGGCTTTTATTATGGTCTCGTTGTCAGCATTATCTAGACCAGACTGGACTGGCTACTTCGATCAGTCACATAGGGAAGTGAGGACCATACCAGTGGACCAGGGTTTCTGAACTGGTAGGCCCATGGAACCTGGGAATATCTGCATCAATCCCAATGGATCGGCTGGTCTGAGCTGATGTTGATTCTACAATGTCTCCTAGCAGAACCATTTTTTCTTTTTCTTTTTTTTCTAGCCATTTTTCTGACATTGGCCTAATGTTTAAAGGCATTTTGGTCGAAGCCCCTTTTCAAAGAAATTTTAGGGTTCCAAAGTTTAGAGGGAGGAGGCTTTCACAAATGTACCTTGCCCTTCCCTCTACCCGAAATCTTGCAATACCTTGCCCCTCTCTACCCCAAAATTTTTGCAAATGGGCACAGGATATTTAGTTCTTTGCAGCACTTCAGCCACCGCCTCTCCATTCTTTCGGAGTGATTCAAGTAACCTCTAAATCTGTATTTTCGTTGAATCTAAACTTCGGAAAACTCTCTCTCTCCGGTATACAATAAAAATATTAGATTTGTGAGTGAATGGATATGGAGTATATGAAAGCTGTGTATGATATCTGGAAGACTAGAGCAAAATCGAAAGGTTGTGTATGGTTTCCTAAGCCTAATGGCCAGGTTATATATAAATAGCAGTAGTCTAGAGATGTCTAAGAAGGGTGATGTATGGACAACAGAATATAGACAGGTTTGTATGAGGAAATATGTGTAGGCTGTGTATGATGCAGAACTCACAGAATTGGTTTTGAGGGACTTCAGAGAGCTAAAAAGATGGTTAAAAAAGTGGTTTTAGCTTAAAAGTGACTCAAGGGTTTTTCGAGAGAGAAGATAAAAGCTTTAAAGGTGGATTCATGGATAAATAAAGAGGGGTTGAGAGAAGATAAAAGCTTCAAAGGTGGATTCATGGATAAATAAATAGGGGTTTGAAAGAGCAAGTTTGAAGTAATTTAGATAGATGGAGAAGGATGGAACACATGGGTTTTTGGAATGTTATTAGAAAGAGAAAGAGAGAACCAAAAATATGGATTTTTCAGTGGGTATGGGAAAAGAAGGGGTTTTTAATGGGTTTAGGCAAAGAAGAATAAAGACAAAAACATGGATTTTAAAGAGGGTTAGAGTGAGGAGAAGTGCGGACCAGAATTTCAGGTACTAAAAGGTCTAGATAGTGAGTAAAGAGAATATAGGTTTGGTTTCTTCTAGAACAGGAACGAATAGAGCTTTTCTGAGAAATATAAAGAGAGATTGTGGATTTTCTAAAAGGATAGAAGGGGAGATTGGATGAGACAAGATAAGTGAGAAGAAAAAGCCAGCAGAGAGAGAGAGAGAGAGAGAGAGAGAGAGAGAGGGAGCACCAAGCAGCACACTAGAGAGCGGAAGAAAGTGTTAGTCCACATAGGGAGAGAAAGTAAACGCAACAGTAGGGAGAGATAGAATAAGAAACAGAACCAGATAAAGAGAGAAGCCGAGAATACAAATGAAGAAAGAAGAAAAAGAAGAGTGGATAAAAGGATATGAAAGAAA